GGCTCTGACGATGTCTGTCACATGACGGACGGAGTCATCGGGGCAAGAGTCCAAGGCAACCCTCCGACGATATCCGGGGAGGTAAATCTACGAATCTTTTCGACTCGCCTTCTCAAACGAATTGAAAGGTACGCCAATATCAAAGGTCAAACAACTTCTATACAACGTAAGGAGACCGCGGCCATACAAATGTTCACACTATTTTGCACTTCGTACCGTCGATTGAACAATAGATTGATTGCGATTTTATAATCTTGAAGGTTGGTGGTATCTCTTTACAAATAGTTGGAGAGAGTGTGATCGAGGTCCTCCACTGCAGATCATATTATTGAGTAAATGGAAAAGTATTCTCCAATTTCTTCTCAGAATCAATAGGGCTGATCCGAGTAAATTTAGGCCCCTTCCTTCTTAGCACCTTTATCAATGCGCTCTGGCCTCAGATGAATCCAGCTTTTGAAGTGAGTATGTAATTGGAGGCCAATGTTAAATTACAATCCTGAATACGTTTTTCTGTTTACCTTTTGAAGTGAAAATAATTCCTTCTAATTCACTGAGTAGTTTAATACAATAATAAGCATTGCTCTACAGACTCCAGCCGCAGAAGTCTAACGTTATCAGCAAATAATTAATCCGATTTACTTTGATTAATATAAAACGTTTTCATTTAATTTGAAGCTTTAATTCACAACAGCATCACAAGCCTCATTAATAAGATTATATTACATTTATTATAGCAGGTTAGCCCACATATAAATTAGTCAAATCTTCAAATGACACATTACGTTGTATGAAAACCTTAAGACTAACATATATTTGTCTAAATGCTTGCGTTGGTATCAAATACCGACAAGTGTTCCTGAAAATCAATTTTCTTGTTCATCCACCTATTAAATCAAAACATGATTATCTACAGGCCTAAATTGAAGTTGGCTCAAGGCCAAGGTTCGTGAAGATTTCAGAACAAAAATTTATGGAAGCATGTTATGTTTTGACCTATACAAAAATCAAAGGTTCCTCTACACTGGAGAAGGAAATGGTGATTGTAGTGAAGTGGTCTACACAGCACAGTTTCGTCAGTTAAAAAACTGTCTTTCCATTTTAATAGGAACGAAAGGATTAAAGTTTAATGCAAATAAAAAAGCATTATATCCATATATCTCTGACCTCGATGGTTCCTTGTTGAATCCTTGACCAACATTTTCAGAGTGAGAAACTATTCCTTAATTAAACCCATCTTGGACCGAGGACTTCTTTGCTTCAAGGCAAACTCACTGCAACTTTAAATGAGGATCACTTATATATTTAGTCCACACAACCTTCAATACAGTATTAATGGCAAACTGACATGAGTATAAGACACTCTTCTCTACATAGGATGGGTTTTATGTCTGATATTAGTTCGAGGCGTGGATTCTTGGCAGGCATTTTAGTGAAACGGTATAAACCGACGTAAATCACTTCTTATCTTGAAATATTTGATAACATTCGATTTGGTGTGATTTTGAGATTTAAAGAATTTTGCAAAAGCTCTCAAACTTGCATCACTATGGAAGCTTTATTTCACTTCAAATGTAAAATTGTACTCATGCAAAATGGCATTACACATCGTTATATCGACAAGTTATTTTGTATGCTAGACCCTAGCTCTCTATTTAAACAGTAATTTCCGGGAAATAAAGAAAGAAATGTAAACAATCTGTTCGTGAGACGTAGTTAGGTTGTGCGTGTAAAGATTTCAATGAACTTTAACTATTTCTTTCAGAAAAATTAAATCGACAAGTGAATTTTTTTCCTCTTTGGCACTAAAAGAGTGTTTCGTCAGTTAAAAAACTGTCTTTCCATTTTAATAGGAACGAAAGGATTAAAGTTTAATGCAAATAAACAAGCATTATATCCATATCAGCACATATTCCAATTGAACTGGGTAACCTCAGAAACAGTAAGCCTCCTAATAGCAATGAAAAAAAAAGGAAAAAGTGTATAACCACACAAAAGGTTAAAAATCCCCTAGTTTAGAAGAACAAACTTGATATTCGACAAAATAATATGTCAATAATTCATGGTATTTCAGGAAGTCCGAATGCTTCCGCATGTCATGTTACGGAACCGCGTTTGATGGGCACTTTGATGAAACTAGAAGAAAGACAAGTCTTGCAGAGAACTGATTGGCCCAGAGAAAACGCGACTGATTACGCCCAGAGTGTAGATCTGGTTTATTCTCACGAGGATAACAGAGATAATGTTGCCAAACTTTGGGGAGCTGTAAGTTCTGACCACTTCCTGAAGGCAGCAATCATCGTTTGTGTGATAGCCTTAAGTGATGGCAATTATTTGGACAAATCTTCAATGTCACGACCTGGCCTCATTTAATGGCCTAGACCCAGATTAAAAGATTCGTTTGAATCGCATAATCTGTGGCTGAAAAGGCCAAGCCGCGCCTAAACCTGAGGATTTCAGACAATATTTCAAACTCCTGTGAGGCAGACGCAAAGGTAGTGGAGGGAGGTTTTCTCCGCTGCCAGAAGCTGTGCAGTTAAGTTGGCCCAAGTCTATACATATTCCTAAAAGGCAACTATTCTGCTTGAGGAGTCCGTTTTATGGGAGGAATATTCGGCAACTAAAGAAGGTTCACGATTATGACAAGCTCGAACTGCTGGTTATAGACGATGGAGGAAATGAATCATCTCAATCAGCTTAAACAAATACTATATTTTGTAGAAACGAAGAGTCACTGGGTTTCGATGAATCTCCAGAGATAACATTTTTGGAGAGAATTTAATTTCGTGGGAGAACTAGTGGCAAAGTAAAACTTTTACAGGAATGAGTTCCAGCTCTTTATGCTGTCCATCATATGATGGATGAAAACTCAGTCCGTTTCACCAGAAACAAGGGAGATGTTTGATGGAGTGCGTCAACCCGAACGTGGTGTTAAAGCCAATCGGCTGCAGTAAATCTGGAATCAGCGCTTGTCATTTGGTGACATCAGCCTTCTACTTTCTTCATCATGCACATTCATACGAAATGAAAGTCTTATGAAAAAGAGACGATATTTTCCATAAAATCCCCCTCTATAATCGAGTATCCTTTTTGCACATTTTATTTTTTATTTTTTTGGGAGTGAAAATGGTGACTATAGCGAAGTAGTCTGCAGTCTACAAACTTACGGCCCCGATGGGTTCTTTTTGAATTCTTGATAGTGGTCTTAAGATTGAGAACCGAATCCTACAAATTCCTACTATTGCACAGACGTTTATTTTTTCATTTATTCCTTCTGAAATCAAACACCCTCAGCATCTAAACAATCCACTTCTTACCTTTTATTTTTTATTTTTTGTTCCAAAATTATATCTCTTGTTTTTCTAAACTTTGACAATTTATTAATAATACATTGTTTCTAACGAATGTAGCTAATCTTAGTTGCGTTTATCTGTCATATCACCCAATTAGCCCTTCTTCGGAATGATTCGTTTACATAGGCTTATTGTCTTCAAAGTAATATTATGCCTTTATTTACCTGCAATTTATCTTTTTTATGGAAAATGTCGTTATTCTTTTATTTTATTCTCTTCTAGATGCATTGCATACAGTATAGATAGAATCATTTTTAATCTCTTATCGTATGACCTAATCAACTCATATTTACGAAAATGATAAAATGATTTAAAGTATTATATTCCATCTACACAATATATGGTTGAATGTGTGATGAAATGACACATATAGATGGTATACTCAAATCATCAAGAATGTCTACAAAGATCACATCGATAATACGAGCAATCATTTTGGAATAGAAAGTTTTCTTGCATAACTGGCAAGAACTATTCTTTAGATCAAAATGGGAAAATATTAACTCAATTAGAAATATGCTAACCAAACCTTTTTTCCAAATTGACAAAATCCAGGGAGAGTTTAGGAAAAAATGTAATTTCAAAAGGTCAAAATCTAACGGTACATTAGTATATTAGTAATTGGGATTACTTCCATTTTGAGTAAAGACATTTGGTGAATAGATTCGGGGGTCGATCCCACCAGAAGCTGCCTGCAGACTCCTCTTGACCAACTGTCGAGTGGCATAATTGGAATATTCTTGATGACGTTGTTTCTGAGGCAATCTTGTTCGATTCCTATTAAAAAGTGCTTAGCTTTTATCACTAGTCTGACGAACATCATCATAGCGCGGAATCATACTTTCTACCATATTCAAGTTAACGAGTCAAGAAAACTCAACTGCTGATCCCTAAACTGAGGAATCTACACTGTATATTTAAATTCATTCCCCAAAAGCTGCATATATACTCAATATTTGGGCTGATTGATGAGGTAAAAAGTGTTTGGGTTTGTTCTGGTCATACATCAACCTCGGCGCATGTGAGAATGTTCGTCCCTTGATGTTTATGTTCCTGCATTTGTTTGCAATTGTATGAAAAATAATATTTGTGGCTCAAATTAACTACAACAGTAAAAGTAAAGTATGTTCTCGTCCATTATGGTTTGATGATCACCATCATCTCCTCTCTGTATATATATTAGCCATCTCTCCGATTTCGCAATGTCGGATACACGACTGATTATGTTGACGAGTTTTTGTCTTGATGTAAGAGAGAAGAAATGGGATAAATGAACAAAGAAGTGATCATGATTAAAGCGAAGAAAAGAAAAGACTAATTGAATCGCCTCCTTTTTGCAGGCGGATCAACAACCTCTCCATCTTCGAGCCTATTAAGTAAGCAAAAGTAATTTTTTGAAGATATGAAGACCAAGATGGTGTGGCCTTTTGTGTTGTCGCAATCTATACAATTATCTTTTACTTATCATATTACTGGCATTCCTTAAATTCAATGTATGCCATATTCAGTTAATTTCGATGGTTTCTCTAATTTCACGTTTAGAAGCAGACATATCATAATCCACGAACCGAGAAGACTGAGACCATTCACGCTCGTGTCCAGTTTCTGCCTGATGCTCAGCCAGCTCTGATTTTTGAACCCGACGGTCTCTGCAGGCGCTCTTGTGGCCGCCACCCTTTTTCTTCTTTTGGTTGTAATCACGGTCAATTCTATGCACTTTTAGCCCACTCTTTCTCTCTCGCATGAAGATAAACTGCTCATAAACACAAAAATACGTGTGTTCGACTATGCGCAATCGGAGGGATGATTAAAATATATATAGAGGGGGTAATGATTATCATCACTGCTTGCTTAGTACGTATGCGAACGCATGCAGGCATTTAGAAACACAGAAACACACTCACATACCCCGAGGTTGGCATATGACAGGCACTAACCAAATCACTTTATTCCTCATCAGAGAGCTCAAATATTGAGTATATATGCAGCTTTTTGGGAATGAGACGGTAAGCTTTCTTGATTTGTTAGTTTTAATATTATTTTAAGAATGATACCCTGCACCCATGATGTTCGTCATATTACGGACAAAAGCTTAACACGTTTTTGCCGGAAATTGGAATGCTTCAACATTTATGTAGACAAATCTATAGAGTTAACTCCGTTGTGTAAGTAGTTAACAAATTCTGTTAATTGATAAATAATTGGTGATTTTCGCAGGGTTTGTTGGAGTTTATCCCCATGAAACTCTTATTTATCCTTTAAACGTTTATTATCCATTATCTAAGTATGGGTATTCAAATTTAAATGTATCTAATTGCTGTCTCCATATAATAGATCAACATGTTTTTTTAAACAACATTAATTCTTATAATGGGATTAATGTATACATTTGTATAAAATAGCCGCAACGTGACTCAAGCCTAGTTCATTAGATTAAGACGAAAGTATCTTTCCCTTGTAAATTAATCTAAGCCAATTGCTCTTTAAAGGCTGTCACTCTCAACCTGTCCATTTATAGCTCTTAAATTTCCGCTTCAGACTTTGAAATTCGTTAACCTATTAAATAGAAACTATAGAGAAGTAAATGGAGTGAATGAACTATTAATTAATTAAGATAAGCATTCATGCTTTTCATGTTTTTTACACTTTTTTTATAAGCTATTTTTAGCAAAAATACGAAGAGCAATAGAGCTAATCTTTTTTGATAGGTAAGCAAAAATATTGATTTCTATTCATTTGTAAGAAGATCCTTGAGACTAGCACTTGATCTAATCCAAAAGCCTTATTGATCCTAATTCGTCATAGATGATGAAGGACTGGTTGCTGAATTTTCCTTTATCAATTTAAACGAAATATGGTGGAAATGCTTTTATACAAGATCTATTGGTCGTCACGATAACCTACTCACAAACGGAATAAAGTAATGTAACACATTACATTATGAGCAGCAATCCTACCATAGAAATTTGTTATCGGAAGTGTCTATGCTTTCTTAAAAGCTACTTATGCCTGTAACCCAAAGGCACTCGTGGCACACTGGCATAATGTTTAATGTGTTTAGAGACTACACACTGCACTATTACGATTCAAGTCCCACTGGAGGGTGCAGATAGGGCCTGCTCAGCTGAGGTCGCAATTGCAGGCCGCGTTAGCCTGAATGAGAATATATTTTGGGAAACAGAGCTATGTCGAATTCGATGGAAAATTGAGGTCTACTCTTGTCATTGTGGGAGAATTTAGCTGCTAGTTCTTCATTGTCTTTTACGAAATATGGCGAAAACAATGCTTAATAAAACAAATTTGGTGAGAGGAGCTGAAGTGAGTATATTCGATTAATTCAATAAATCTGGAAGAATATATTCAAAAATCTACTTCGTCAGAAAAGATCATACACTTTAAACAGGAGGAGAATCAGCATATTTATTCTCGAATCTTAGATAAGGTCATCAACCATGATTTATTGTGCTTCAAGAAAAGACACTCTACACCTGAAGCAACTCTTGAGTTTGAAACTGCTAGAAATCTTAAAAATCTGCATAATATGAAAAGGCTAAATTGATGAGATCATACAAAATTATCATAAGAATCAGTGAAAATTCGCGAAATTATCTTTACTCTGGATCAGGCCGGTTACTGATTGAGCAAAGAACATGAAAATGTGAGGAAATCGAATCTACCATGAGATTTGCTTATCCATAATTATGATGTGTGGTATTAGTAGAATGATGACAATATTATGCAGTATGAAACAAAAAACTAAAAGACTATTTTTGTTTGTATTAGAAACTTGATCTTAATTCTTATATAGAATAAAATTATTCTTATTATATTTTGTAGAATGGCTCATTTGGGGAAAAAATGTCACAGCCTCTAATTGCACACATGGGCTAATGCATATGAAGGCATGCGACGAACAAAAGTGGGGGAAAATACATTTAAAAGTTACATTATGCCAGCTTTGCCTAGATTATGGGGAATTCTGTAGCAGATAAACTTTTTTCGACGAAATTGTGGAAATTAGGGCCCGGTTTTTTAATAATTCTCTACTTTAACTTTGATTTTCTGTACATACTGATAGCATAGAATCCATTAATTGCCTTATCCCAGTTCTCAACATTTCTAGATCACTATAAATTTGGCAATGACTCCTACTCATGAATTCCTTCGGTAGGAAATCACTGTCTATGTGTCTCTGATTGTTGTCGTATGGTAAGTCACAGCCTCATAGCAATATACTGACCGCATTCTGACTTGTCAAATATGCCTCACACATTCTAATATATCATACAACAACAGTGAAAGGAGCCAACATAAAATGTTTAGCTATGTAATCAAAGAACAAGCAATTCAATAAAATTATTCTGTGAATAGGTGTGCGTGAAAATCTACTCACTTACGTAAAAAGTTTTCTGTATTTGCCATTGAGAGTGTATTCAAAAGGCTTACTATGTTTGGATTGAAGATAGAAAAGAATGCATAAACATAACTATGAGAACTAATGAAGTGGAAAACAGTAATACCTACTCAAGTACATACAGACACAGCAATCTCAGCTTTATAGATGAAGTTTTGATGGGTTTGATGAAGCTTCAAGGAAACTATTGTTCTGATGGCATTTAGTTATGTAAACGGGCCTGATGAAGACAATTGCAGATGCCGATAGTCGATTCCTGTACCTCGTCAGTTTATTGATATTTTTATGTCGTTCAGGCTAAAACGAATCATTTCTTTCGATTCTAATTAGATGGCGCTGGTCTATTGTTTTTCAGATAACAGATCCCAATCATACAAAACCTAAGGCCAATACCAGAGACCACAACATCTTGGTCTTCATATCTTCAATTAAACTGGGGAGGTTCTGAAGAAAGGTTGTCTATGAATGGTTTTCATTTGCCTCTTTGACGAGTAGTAGTTCGGAGCTGAGAATGGCGGGGCCTAATAAAAATGCCAAATACGATTAAGATGGAACATCTGGAAATGTAGCAAATTCACGGTCAGATGCGGAACACTACGATGGTTATGCCTGCCGAGGACTCTGGATAGGTCGAGGTTATCTAGGCCTCTCTGGAATCGCGACAACTTTGCGAAACATAGGTTATACCACTTTTATGTATAGAAAGAAGACAGCAACCAGAAGACGTTTCACATTAATTTGGTCGTATCAAGTTCGATTAAATTGCTTGTAAAATTCTCAAGTTTGTGTTTTTTGAAGACTTAGATTGAAATCAGCAAATACTGGTTTCATACCATCCTCCGTTTGGAATCTCTCCTCCTGTCTTGGCCTAATAAACTATCATATAACCTTCGCCTAGGCGAGGTCGAATATGCAGAACATCCTAGATGAAAACAACTTTTATGAAAGCAAGGCTATGAGAAATTCAATGGAAACACAAGTTCTACTGATAGCATTGTGGGAAAACTCAACTTCCAGCCTCCTCACCAACTTAAACGAAAAAGGGTGAATACATCTCATATCAATGAGCCTACTTTTAGATTCCTCCGATGCAGCTTTCTTCGCAGTCATATGCAAAAACTGCTTTCAATAACTAAAAATAGTCGTAAATACCACTACTCAAAACGTTGTCTTCTTTCAGACCTATTAAATGATCACAGAATAAATCGCTAGAAATCTTTCTCAGAGCACAATATCTGTTTGGAGTATCCACTTAATGAAACAAGACGACGTCAGTATTCCTAGCCTATTCTGTTCACATTATTTTTGAAATAACTAATGATT